TCATTGTTGTTTGGCGGGTCCGGGCTGGGGATTCGAACCCGCCACCTTAGGTGTACGTGGCTGGCGCCTTAGCCGGTTGAGCTATAGGCGTCGAGCCATGATCTGTACTCTTATGATGAACCCATTTGCTTCTGAGCTACTGTGATTTGTCATTAAATTTAGCCTTTTTAATTCTGTAAAGGCAAAAGTGGAAACCTAATATACACATGTATAAGTAAGAAAAATTAATAAAGAAAAGGAAAAATATGATCTATAATTAGGAGGCAAAAATTAGTAAAATAGACCTAGAGCAGAAGCTTGAAAGGCTATGGTCAGAGCATTTTCCCTCTCACAGCAGAGACTCTCCTCTGATTTGTCATCCCTAATCCCCTTGCAATAGTCCTTGCAAAAATAACTTCTCTGCCAAGGGTGGTGGCTCTCACTGTAATCCGAGCACTCTGGGAGGCCAAGGCGGTGGATTCCCTGAGCTCAGGAGTTTGAGACCAGTCTGAGCAAGAGTGACATCCCATCTCTAAAAATAGCTGGGTGTTATGGTGGGCACCTATAATCCCAGTTACTCTAAAGGCTGAGGCTAGAGGATTGCTTGAGCCCAGGAGTTTGAGTTTGCTGTGAGCTATGATGCCACGGCATTCTACTGAGGGTGACAAAATGAGACAGTCTCAAAAAACAAACAAAAAAGCTCTACCCAAACCCAACCTTCTCCTTATGCAAATAAATAAGTACACAAATAAGAAAAAAATAGACTTAGAGATGGCAGAATTAGCAGACAAAAACACTACATAGATAACAATTTTGGTCTTAAGTTTAATATAGAGAGACATATGATAATGATGAGGAGAAATATTGGAAGATAAAAAGAAGATAAGAGGCACCTCATACAAAAAAATACATCTAAAATAAAAAATACACAGGTTCTCCATTCTGTTTCATAGATCTGTATCTCTATTTTTGTGCCAGTGCCATTCTGATTTGATCACTATCCACTTATAGTATGAGCTTAAAGATTGGTATAGTGTCCCAGATTTGTTTTTATGTCTTAGAGTTGTGTTGGCTATTTGTTTTTTTTGTTTTTGTTTTTTTTCTGATTGCATATACAACAAAGAACTATTTGCTCAAGTTCTTCAGAGTATGATGTTGGTGCTTTAATGGTGATTCCATTAAACCTGTAGGTGACTTGGGGTGGTATGGACATTTTAACAATGTTGATTCTTCCCAGCCACGGGCATGGAATATTCTGCCATTTGTTTTTAATGTCTTCTGCTATTTCTTTTCCAGAGTTTCATAGTTTTCTTTGTTAGGTATATTCCCAGATATTTCATTTTCTTTGCAGCTACTGTGAAGGGTAGTGTGTCTTTGATTTGATTCTCAGCTTGACTGTTATTGGCATATAGGAAGCCTACTGATTTGTGGGCCTTGATTGATTTTATATTCCCAGATTTTGTTTTTTTTTTTTTTTAGAGACAGAGTCTTACTTTGTCATCCTCGGTGGAGTAGTGTTGTGTCACAGCTCACAGCAACCTCCAGCTCTTGGGCTTAGTCAATTCTCTTGCCTCACCCTCCTGAGTTGCTGGGACTACAGGCAGCCACCATAAAGCCCGGCTGTTTTTTGTTACAGTTTGGCTGGGGCCGGGTTTGAACCCACCACCCTTAGTATATGGGACTGGTGCCCTACTCACTGTGCCATTGGTATATGGGGCTGGAGCCCTACTCACCGCCAGCATTACTATATTTCTTGGTCACTTGCAAGAGACTTGGGGTTGAGTCTTGGTTTTAAATTTCTGATGGTGGAAGTTAGAAGAAAGGCATTGCTGTCTGGGCTTACCTGCTTTTTGCTCCCTAGATCATTGATCTAAAATGGTTTCCTATTTCATTTCCCTTATTTTATGAATTTGAGAAAGAAAAACAAAAGCAGCTCTTAAAATATGTATGACACTTCCACAGAACTGCCACATCAGGCAAGGTCATAATGGAATGAAACAAAAACAAAAATAATGAAATGCCCAACACCACTCCACAACCATGTCTGTGTACAGACAAAAGTAAAAAGACAGTCTCACCCAGAAGCATGGCCAGGCATCCTTCTTCCCAGTGCTCATCACTTCCCTACTGCTGCTCCTCTTCTGCTTCAGGGACAGAAGTATTAAATAGAATTACACAACTTCCTGACAGTGTCCATGCCGGCGCAAAACCGTGTTTTCTTACATCCAAATCAACTGAGTCCCTCCTGCCAAACTCTTGCTGAGATGCACTGCACACCGCCCCCCCCCCCAGGTGTGCTCTCTCTCTCATTGCAACAGACCACAAAACCAACTTTGTGAGATTACAGGTGTTTTCCAGGCAGTCTGTGTCTAGGTTTTCAACAGGTGTGCCCCAGCACGCTGGTGTGCCATGAAAATTTTTTAAAGGTCATTAATTAAATTATTTTCAAAAGATGTTCAAAGCACAGTAAGTATATTCTTTTTTGTGATTAACGTAAGTGTGCCACAGAAGTTTAACTATACTTTTTTTATTTGTTATTTATTTTTTTTAGAGGCAGAGTCTCAATTTGTCATGCTCAATAGAGTGCTGTGACCTCACAGCTCACAGCAACATCCAGTTCTTGGGCTTAGCTGATTCCCTTGCCCCAGTGTCCCAAGTAACTGGGACTACAGGTGCCTGCCACAACACCTGGCTATTTTTTTGTTGAAATTTGTCTGGGGCTGGGTTTGAACTTGCCACCCTCGGTATATGGGGCCAGCACCCTACTCACTGAGCCACAGGTGCCACCCTAGAAGTTTAACTATAGATTTCTGGGTGCCATAAGATAAATGGTTGAAAAACACTGGTCTAGATGTTATCAGCACACTTAATCATTTAGTCTGGATGCATCGGTTTCTACTGTCTTGTTCTCTGTTCATTATCATACAGGCAAATTTAAAAACACGATAGTAGTTGGCTCGGCGCCTGTGGCTCAAGTGGCTAAGGTGCCAGCCACATACACCCAAGGTGGCGGGTTCAAATCCTGCCCTGGGCCCACCAAACAACAATGACGGCTGCAACCAAAAAATAGCCGGGTGTTGTGGCGTGCACCTGTGGTCCCAGCTACTTGGGAGGCTGAGGCAGGAGACTTGCTTGAGCCCAGGAGTGGGAGGTTGCTGTGAGCTGAGATGCCACAGCACTCTACCCAGGGGGCCAGCTTGAGGCTCCTGTCTCCAAAAAAATAAAAAAATAAATAAAAACACGATAGTAGTGGCATGATAGTGGGAATCTTTATTTTCTTTTATGAAGTATGGAACACTTTATGTATTCGTGTTTCATCCTTCTTCAGGAGCCATGCTAATTTTATCTCTATCATTCCAATTTTAGTATATGAACTGCCAAAGTGAGCCCCATACTTGAAATATTTATAGTAAAAATTTTTATATGTTTTGAATAAATAGTAAATCTTATCTCTATGCTTGTTCTCTTTAATCTACCTATTTACTCTCTTGAGTTGAAGCACAGGAGCTCCATTTACCCACTTGGTTCCAGAAAGTACCCAAATCTCTCTTCATTCATTTATTAGTTCAGAGCAGAAGCCTACAAGAATTTTTTCCTGGTCTTTGACAAACTTATAGAGTAAGTGCCAGATATATGTTTCTTTTTTTCTTTTTTTTTTTTTTTTGGCCAGGACTGGGTTTGAACCCACCACCTCCTGTATATGGGGCCGGCACCCTACCCTTTTGAGCCACAGGCACCAGTGCTTGATATATGTTTCTTAAGTTGAAGTCACTCCTTTGCCTTGGGCATATTTGCCTGCATATTCTGAGCATAACTCAATACAGGAATTTTGATTTGCATTACCTAAGAGGATGGGGTTTCCCAAAGCAGTGATCTTTTTTAAAGAAAATAAATTTTCTTGTGTTATTTTGGGCATATAACATGAAGCTAGGGATACATTTAGATAGAAAGAGGCTGTCCCACTGTGAAACAAATGAATAACTCCAACATCTTACACAGTTACCCATTTTTTTTTTTATGGTAAGAGCAGCTGAGATCAACTCAGTTACCATGAATCCCATAACCAGTATAATTTTATCACCTACAGTTTTCATGTTTCCATTAAGATCTCTAGACTTGCTCATCCTACATATCTGCTACTTTGAGTCACTTCATGACTTCACACCAGTCTCTGCTGATGTCTTTAGGAATGACCAACAGACAGTAGAATCTGGGCAATGAAATTTTCTCCCAATGCAGTCAGTACAGCAGAGACTTGCAGAGTAAGTCTCCTGAAGATACTGCTGAGCTGAGGCTGGTAATACGGACCTTGTACTTTGTTGGTAAAATATTCTGGTCGTCAGCCAGAATATTTTAGGTGGATTCCAACCTTTCTCTTGTGGTCTCATGTTGAAGGAGTTGGCTTTGCCAAATTAGGAGGCTGTCAATGTGTTCCCTGAGTTTCTTTCCAGAACACCACACTGCTCTTTGCACCCACAGCTCCTGCCATTGTGTGCAAACCAAAGCTGTGTGAAACTGACAGACCAGGGGCCGGAAGGAGGCTCAGATGACGTGGGCATTGCCCTTCCCGTCCTTCCCATTCTCAAGTACCCAAAGTAGAAATAAGACAGTGTGGAAGATACGGATGAGGTCTGATTAGCAGAATTCAATCTCTTTTCTTCTGTATATACAGAAGAGACTATTACTTACATGGAAGGCTGGAAGCTGTTAGGATCCTCCTGATTTTAAAACAAGTTGTTCCCTCTCCCTTGCTCACTGTGAAGCTTCTGGGAAACATCTCAACAATGATTCAGCGTGGGAACATTTTAGTTTTACTTTTATAGAGAAGGGAACAGAATTAGCTAAGCCTTAAGCCCAGAGACTTTTCACCACAGTCTTCACTACTCCATAGGACACTTGGTCTGCTATCCTCAGAAAAGAAAGGAGGTTTCATGGCAAAGATATTTTGAGTCTCAGTTTCACTATGTGAAACAACTAAGAAGGGATATTTGACGTTCTCTAGGTCCTTTTCTTTATCCCCTTGTCTCTAAGTTAGTCAAAAGCTTCATTGTGGAGGGAAGAAGAGACACAATAACCAGAGGTGCAGGGACAGAAGAGGCTTGAGTCCAGACAGAGGGACAAACAGCTTGTGTGTTTCTTTGCTCACTGGACCAGCACAGTGCGAGTTTGCTCTTATTTTTCTCAAACCTCGCAAGGAATCCTGCCCCTCCTAGAACATTAATTATCAATCTTTTCTCCTTGGGTTGTAGTCATTCATCTCCAAGGTCAAAGTCCACTGAGATTGTTCTGTCACTATTAACAGAGTGAGTCCCTGACCCCATTGTAATTCATATTTCACAAAGGCTGACTGCAGCTACCCAGTGAGTGATCCTCTTTATATCCCATGTACCCCAATCCCAGAAAGCTGACCCCTCCTGCTCGGCCTCCTTCAGCCCTTACACTCACTCAGCCAGGCAAAAGACTACAACTCAAGGGTGTCTGCTGCTCCAGTATCTTGGAAGAGTCTCTTAACCCCTTCTGGGTTGCTGCCCTAGCTGTAAAAAGTGTATTGTATGAGGTTGTCAAATATTGTTCCTGGTCTTCTTTGACTCTGAAGTATTTTTGCAGTGTTATGTGTGATGACAGACGTAAGCCTTCTCTCACACTTCAAGGTCAGATACAAGGGGAAATGTTCAGAAGCACCTTCCTTAGTCTTAGCATTCTAAGTGTTTTTCTCTGGGGCTCTGGCTGAAGGGCTGGTCTTGATGATGGGGGGAGCACAGCACAGGTGGTCGCAATGAGGGGGATGGTCCTAGACTGACAGGGTTTGGATCTTAACTGTATCACTTACCTGTTGTGTGACTTTTAGTGAATTATTTCCCCTCTCTTTGCCTCCACTTATGTATGGATAAAGGAAAGTGAATAATAGTAATTACTTTCTAGGGATTTGAGGAAAAATTATGTGCTTTTAATGCCACAGCTGAGAGAGTCTGTATGTCCTTTCTGACCTGAGAAGAAGGCCCTGACCTTAATTGGAGCTCTGGCTATTCCATTGCCTTGTACTCTTGGATCCCTAATGAATTCTAGAACATATAGGATTTTGTAGTTCATCTAGCCTGGTCTCATCACTAGGGGGGGATCAATCCTTTTTCCAGCTTTATAAATCCTAAACATAAGCAGATTGAGATTGTCTTTTCTTAATCCAGACATGCATAGTTATACTCACTTGGACCATAATTGTTAGACAAGGTCCTGACATGTGGTAAACACCTAGAAATGTTATATTAAATAATATGCTAAGTGCGTTATGTATATGCACATGTGTACATAAAACATTTAGTAGAATTATTTTTTCCACCTAAGTTTCCAGGTCTAGTCCCTTTTTAGAAGGCTCATACTCATCAAACAATGGAGAAAAAAATTTTTTAAGTTTCCATGTGATTCGGCTGCAGAAATGTGTGTACCCCATTTCACATAAAAAGACTCTCATGAAATCCTTTAATTCATTAATCTCAAAAAACTCAGTTGCAGTTTTTAGACTAGTGTGTACCAAAAGCCAGGGCAAACACATACATACCTGCATTACAGTGTGAGATGAAGCCAGTGTGCACACACGCATTCCTGACAGGGTGTGAGATGAAGCGGGTACATACATGTACATATCTACATTACGGTGTGAGAGGAAGCCAGTGCGTACATGTGCATACCTGGACAGGGTGTGAGAGGAAGCCAGTGTGTACATGTGCATACCTGGACAGGGTGTGAGA